CCCTGGCTTTAGAAATATTGAAAGAACCAAATTATTATGAAGTGTATAATTTTGGCTATTAAAAATATCAGAACACCATATTCAAATGCGTGGACCACAGAGCGGGGCAGAATTCACAGAATGCCAGAAAAAAAAAAAAAAAAAAAAAAAAAAAAAAAAAAAAAGAAGCCCTTTCCTCACCCAAGCTGGGTGCCCCATACTGCGAGAATTAATGGCTAGAGACCTGGGCATCCTTCAAATTATGAACCTTGAAACCACTGAGCCATTTATCAGAAGTCAATAGAGATCCTCAGAGTGCTCCATATAATGACAGCTACATACAGTCGTGCAAAAGGACAGTCACTATAATTAGACACAAAGCAAAGACTACTTACCAATATACCAGTTTTTGGGGGGGTGTTTTTTTGTTTTTTTTTGAGCAACTTCCACGCTCAGTCAGTCTTCAGAGTGGTTTAAAACCGATCAGTCTTGTCATTTTCTACCATTCGTATTGTTACATTAGGAAAAATGTTTTCTTTTCTTTTTTTCCCCTTCCCACTGTGAAACTTTGGGTTCAGAGCTCCCCAGGATCAATTCTGAACAAAGCCTCCAGCTGCAGTGCCATCCAATTTGAAGCAGACATTGGGGACAATTTAAGGTTTTTATCCACAAGAAGGTTTTTTTCCATTCTCTTAAATGCAGCCATAATTAGAGTAATTTTTCATGTAGCCCGCTGATTACAGCGTTTTTACCGTCAAAGATAATTACCTGTAATTTTCTTCCACTTTTAATACTAAAAAGCCATCTTTATTTAGATTCAGGAACAGGAAAGGCGAAACAAAAGAGGAAAATTATTCTGTTATTCATACACAAATTGCAGAGACGTAGGGCCTAAAATTGAAAATTAACCAAAATTATAATGCTGAAAAGAATGGAAGAGGCTTCAGCAGTACAGCTGGTAGCGGGGCTCACTGAATTATTCAGATGACACTGGGGAGAAAAGCTACCGTGCGTTTCCACCGACACTATTGTGCGTGTGCCTGTGTGTGCGTGTGTGTGTGTGTGCGTGTGTGTGTGTGCATCCTTCAGGAAACCCCGCTTTGCACACACACACACCCCCACCATCACCACCACCACACACACCCCCCTGTGCGGGCTCACCCTCGCCCCCGCAGAAGGGAACCCCGCAACCCGGGGAACCCGGTGGGTCCCCCACGGTCCCCCGCAACAGCCTCGATTAACCCTTTCGCTGCAGCCCCCGAGTGGGGACGGCGGCGGGGTGTGTGTGTGTGTGTGTGTATTCCTAAGGTGCTGGGGGTGGGAAGGGGGGGCTCGCTGCCTCCCGTGGGCATCCGGGGGGCTCGTCCTCGCCTCCCCGGTGCCACCGTGGGTGCGGGAAGCCTCTCGGTGCATCGTCCCCTCCTTCCCCCCCCCCACGAGTGATTCTCAGATCGGTTTAAATAAATCCCAAGCAAACAAATAAATGATGCTGATGATAATAATGATAATACTAATGTATAAAAGAAGAAGGTGGGAGGGGAAGGCCTTCCCGGGGGGGGGGGGGGGAGCGGATGGGGCTCCCGCCGCCGCCCCGGGAGACTCTTCGTGAAACAGCGTCATCTATGGATGGATGGAGCGGCGG